GAGATGGTCACATCAGCGGTGAAATAAGTACAGGTGTGAAACATACATTTGGCCAAAAACTGGCTATTTATTTACTGATCCAGTTCTCACTGTGAAAGACTAACCCCCCCCCCCACGCTCGAGCGCGATCCCCACAAAATAATCATAATGAACATTCACAAACAACATTGGTCCCTGTGATCAAAGGGCTCCCATGCACTCAATATTTGAGAACAAAAAAAAGAGTCGGTGTCAGCAGTGAAGCCGGTTCTACTCACGGTAGAGTTTCGTTCGGGCCTGAAAAATGAAGCCCGACCCGGCCCGAGCCCGCTAATGTTAAGCCCGAGCCCGTATAAGCCCGACCAATGAATGCTGTATAACAGGCCCGAGCCCGACAGAACCCGACACATCTGATTTACTTGTTGTACGCACTCACCTTCCAATTGCAAGTTTAGTTTCCACTTTTGAATTTGTTTTGTCTCCACTTGATCCATTTCTACTATTGTTCCTGTTCGCTGTTGACCACAGCAGCAGGAGACACAGGGATGATGCGTTCACGGCTCGCTGCTGCTGTATGACACGCCGGTTACGGTGTCATTGATATATTAACTTTTTTTAATAACTTGTTGTCAATCAACGGACATTGTTATTGATATATATATATATATATATATATTATATATATATATATATGCATATCATTATGTATAAAAATAATTTAAAAATAATTATAATAATAATAAAAAAGAAACATATTTTTAAAAAAAGAAGCCCGGCCCGAACCCGACAGCTGAGCGCCAAAATGAGGCCCGAGCCCGGCCCGAACTCAGGTCGGGCCTCGTGCCTGCTAGGTTCGGGCTGAAAAGCAAAACTCACGGCCCCCGCGCATGTACCACGGTCCACCAAAACCGGTCCCGGAGCCCAGCAGCAAACGTAGAGTAATAATCCACAGAGTCTCGTTATATCCACAGTGGTAATTCAAAATGAAATAACTCTACAAAATAATCCGCTGAAAACAGGTGCTCCAGGTAAAGGTGCTGGCCCTGCTGCAAGTCGGCGTCTGACGTCAGATCATGCGCGCCCCGTGCCCATCCATTCCCTTCCCCCGTGCCCTTCCCCTTATTCCATTTCTTGGTCGGGGGGCCACCCCGACCAGTCAGTCAGAGGTGCTCCCACATAGCACCAGCCCCTCACTGATCCTCCTGCAGGTGGTGAGTCCACGGGAGCTGATGTCTTCCAGCGGGGGCTTCAGGCAAAGTGGGAGTCTTGAAGTACGTCTTGTGGCGGGCTCGAACCCACAACCTTCAGGCCCAAAGGCCAATGCTCTACCAACTGAGCAAATTGAGCAAACTAATTGACAGCAAATGTAAAGGACACAGAACAGACCTGGTACACACGATTGATTGGTTGTAAAATAAAACATTTCACCCTCCTGACGCTCCACTTTTCTGGAGTTTCCCGCGGGGAGAGGCGGCGAGCTGGGGTGGCCATTCTCATTGCCCCCCATCTCAGCCGCCACGTGTTGGAGTTCTCCCCGGTGAATGAGAGGGTGGGGGACAAGCCTCTCATTGTTGTGACGGCCTACGGGCCTAACAGCAGTGCAGAGTACCCGGCCTTCTTGGAGTCCTTGGGAGGGGTACTGGACGGTGCACCGCCCGGGGACTCCATTATTCTCCTGGGGGACTTCAACGCCCATGTGGGAAACGCCAGTGACACTTGGAGAGGGGTGATCGGGAAGAACGGCCCCCCTGATCTGAACCCGAGGGTGTTCAGTTGTTGGACTTCTGTGCCAGTCACGGCCTGTCTATCACGAACACCATGTTCGAGCACAAGGGTGTCCACCAGTGCACGTGGCACCAGGACACCCTAGGCCGGAGGTCGATGATCGACTTTGTTGTCGTATCATCTGACCTTCGACCGCGTGTCTCGGACACTCGGGTAAAGAGAGGGGCGGAGCTGTCAACCGATCATCACCTGGTCGTGAGTTGGATCCGCTGGCAGGGGAAGAAGCCGGTCAGACCTGGCAGACCCAAGCGTATAGTGAGGGTCTGCTGGGAACTTCTCGCTGAGCCCCCTGTCAGACGGACTTTCAACTCACACCTCCGGGAGAGTTTCTCCCAGGTCCCGGCGGAGGAGGGGGACATGGAGTTCGAGTGGACCATGTTCTCTGCCTCAATCGCCGATGCGGCGGCTCGTAGCTGTGGTCGCAAGGTCTCTGGTGCTGGTCCCGGCGGCAACCCCCGAACCCGGTGGTGGACACCGGCAGTAAGGGATGCTGTCAGGCTGAAGAAGGAGTCCTATCGAGCCATGATGGTTCGGGGGACTCCTGAGGCAGCTGTCCAGTACCGGCAGGCCAAGCGTGCCGCGGCCCGGGCTGTTGCAGAGGCAAAAACCCGGGACTGGGAGGAGTTCGGAGAGTCCATGGAGCATGACTATCGGTCGGCCTCGAAGAGATTCTGGCAAACCATCCGGCGCCTCAGGAGGGGGAAGCAGTTCTTTGCCAACACCATGTGTGGAGAGCTGCTGACCTCGACTGGGGATATTGCCGGGCGGTGGAAGGAATACTTTGAGGTTCTCCTCAATCCCCCCGTCACGTCCTCCGTCCAGGAGGCAGAGGCTGAGGATGTTGGGGCGGATACATCCATCTCCCTGGCTGAGGTCACCAAGGTAGTTGGCAGCCTCCATGGTGGCAAGGCTCCGGGTGTGGATGAGATCCGCCCTGATTATCTAAAGTCTCTGGATGTTGTAGGACTGTCTTGGCTGACACGTCTCTGCAACATCGCGTGGCGATCGGGGGCGGTGCCAATGGAGTGGCAGACCGGGGTGGTGGTCCCCCTCTACAAGAAGGGGGACCGGAGGGTGTGTTCCAATTATCGTGGGATCACACTCCTCAGCCTCCCCGGTAAGGTCTACTCCAAGGTACTGGAGAGGAGGCTACGGCCGATGGTCAAATCTCGGATCCAGGAGGAGCAGTGTGGTTTTCGTCCCGGTCGCGGAACACTGGACCAGCTCTATACTCTCCATCGGATACTCGAGGGTTCATGGGAGTTCGCCCAACCTGTCCACATGTGCTTTGTGGATTTGGAGAAGGCGTTCGACTGTGTTCCCCGGGGTGTCCTTTGGGGGGTTCTCCGGGAGTACGGGGTCAGAGGTCCTCTGCTGAGGGCCATCCGATCCCTGTATGACCGGAGCCAGAGCTGTGTTCGCATTGCCGGCAGTAAGTCAGACCTGTTCCCGGTGAATGTTGGCCTCCGACAGGGCTGCCCTTTGTCACCGGTTCTGTTCACTGTATTTATGGACAGAATTTCAAGGCGCAGCCAGGGGCCGGAGGGGGTCCGGTTCGGAGACCACAGGATTTCATCTCTGCTGTTTGCGGACGATGTTGTCCTGTTGGCTCCAACGAACCAGGACCTGCAGCATGCACTGGGGCGGTTTGCAGCCGAGTGTGAAGCGGCTGGGATGAGAATCAGCACCTCCAAATCCGAGGCCATGGTGCTCGACCGGAAAAAGGTGCCTTGCCCTCTACAGGTGGGTGGAGAGGTCCTTCCTCAAGTGGAGGAGTTCAAGTATCTCGGGGTCTTGTTCACGAGTGAGGGAAGAATGGAGCGTGAGATTGACAGGCGGATCGGTGCAGCGTGCGCAGTGATGCGGTCGCTGTATCGGACCGTTGTGGTAAAGAGGGAGCTGAGCCGAAAGGCAAACCTCTCGATTTACCGGTCAATCTTTGTTCCCTCCCTCACCTATGGTCATGAGCTTTGGGTAATGACCGAAAGAACGAGATCGCGGATACAAGCGGTCGAAATGAGCTTCCTCCGCAGAGTGGCTGGGCGCTCCCTTAGAGATAGGGTGAGGAGCTCAGTCACACGGGAGGAGCTCGGAGTAGAGCCGCTGCTTCTCCACGTCGAGAGGAACCAGTTGAGGTGGCTCGGGCATCTGTTCCGGATGCCTCCTGGACGCCTCCCTGGGGAGGTGTTCCGGGCACGTCCCACCGGGAGGAGCTGGCCTGGGAACGCCTTGGGGTCCCCCCGGATGAGCTGGAGGAAGTGTGTGTGGATAGGGAAGTCTGGGCGTCTCTGCTTAGACTGCTGCCCCCGCGACCCGGCAACGGATAAAGCGGAAGAAAATGGATGGATGGACCCTCCTGAGCGAACATATGGTGGGGACCTATGTGGGCGTTACAGTGTTAATTCCACAACAAGAGATTTGTGATGTTATAAATTAGTTTGGAGGAAAAATAATCCACATATCGACATCGGTATCGGCTGATGTCTGAATCAAAAATTGAGAGTTGGACAATATCGGATCGGAAAAAAAGCTAATATCGGACATCCCTAGTACTGTGGCATCTAGACTGCTCTTTATTAGCAGGGGCCTGATGACTGGGTCAGCACTAGATCATATACGGAATCGGGACGGAAACGGAAGTAAATATAACAAAATACCTATTCCTGCCTAAACTTAACCAGCCATTCCCATAAAATAACCCCAACCCAGCCTTAACCCTAACGTTAACCATCTTACTCAGACACCTAAAACTTAACCAGTCACCACTTAAGGACTTATTAGTCTAAAACTAATTTGAAATTAGGATTGTTACTTCCGGTTTCGACCCGATTCCGTATATGATCTAGTGCCGACCCTCTCAACTGCAGTTTTCAGGGCCTTTGGGAATATTCCACAATGAAGGGACATGTTTACTATCTGTGTGAGTGAAGGTAACAGACTGCTCAGAACAGACTTCAGAAATCTAGTGGGTAGTACATCCAAGCTGCATGTGGAGGAGCTCAGACTGGAGATTATCTCTTGGACGTTTGATCATTTACAGGTGCAAAATGAGTTGGCTCAAAGAGCCTTTCTGGCTGTTGGATGGTTATCTGTGGATTAGAGACAATGGCGTTTTTGATGACTTGAACCTTGTCATCGAAAACATTTGCAAACTCATTACATTTACGTTTGGAAGTTAGCTCTAATGGTAAAGTGTAATTGAACAGTAATTCAATACTTTATTCTTTTGTTTGCAGATCTACAAAGTCCATCTACAGAATGGGGGTCACCTGTGATCAGTGTGGAAAGACCTGTAGATCTGCTTCTGCACTGAAGACCCACTACAGAAGTCACACTGGAGAAAAACCATACAAGTGTGATCTGTGTGGGATAGGTTTTACTCAAGCAGGAAGTCTCAAGGCCCACAGCAGAATCCACACTGGAGAAAAACCATACGTTTGTGATCTGTGTGGAACAGGTTTTGCTACAAAAGAAGGTCTCAAGGTCCACAGCAGAATCCACACTGGAGAAAAACCCTTCAGCTGTGACTTCTGTGGTCAGAGTTTTAGACATGAGAATACTCTCAAAGATCATCTGAGTATGCACACAGGAGAGAAACCATTTGAGTGTGACGAGTGTGGAAAAACATTTAGGACCAAAAACTACCTCCCACTACATCAGCGTGTCCACACAGGAGAGAAACCTCATCAATGTGACCAGTGTGAGAAGACTTTTAAACGTTTACCTGACCTCACTAAGCACTACAGAATCCACTCTGGAGAAAAACCATTCGTCTGTGGAGACTGTGGGAAGGTGTTCAGTCACTTTTCAAGCTACAAATGTCACGAGAGAATCCACACTGGAGAAAAACCATTTGCATGTGACTTCTGCAGTAAAACCTTTGGAACTGCAGCAGATCGCACACGTCACCAGCGGATCCACACCGGAGAGAAGCCGTACGAGTGTGATCAGTGTGGAAAAGGTTTTCCTCGAGCAGGAAGTCTCAAGCTCCACAGCAGAATCCACACTGGAGAAAAACCCTTCAGCTGTGACGTTTGTGGTCAGCGTTTTACTCGCAGTGTTTCTCTCAAACGTCATCAGAGGATCCACACTGGAGAGAAACCATTTGTCTGTGAAAGGTGTGGTAAGTCTTTTAGACAAAGACCACATCTTCATAAACACATTAAAACCTGTGAAAAGAAGGTGTGAAGACGCAGCATCTGGAACAAAGTGAAGGAGACAGAGCTGAGGCTGCATCATGTGAACCCAGAGTCAGACTCTACAGGATCACACTTCAGTCTTAACCCTGTACTGCAGCTGCTTCAGTGTGGAGGCTTTAATACACACCACAAATCACTTGTATGTGTTTCTTATGTTGTATCTATTTTGTTTGTTGTATGAATAACAACAGTGTAACAATAAACATATAAAACATGTGTAATATCACCATGTGTGCGTTCTTAGTAGTGGGGGTGGGTCCTGGCTTATAAGGGTTCGTGAGCATGTGTGCTGATCTGCCTGTAGTCTGACTTCGTGCTGGTGGGGGTGTACCCGGAAACCGAATTATCCAATGAATTCTTATGGCACCTTTTTTCCACTCAAAAACAGCTTCACAGTCTGGTCCAAAATTAAGTAAGTGATGTTTTTATATATAGCACATTTTTACAGATCAAGGTCACCCAAAGTGCTTTACAATGTTCAGAGTTCAGATATCTTTACGCAGTGACGACAGAAGTGAGACGCTGAACACACTGGAGCATCAAAGCCTCTGACCAAACACTCGGTACACTCAGACCTATGGCATTAATGTGAAGTTGCTGCTGAGGGGGTATTTGGACCAGCAGAGATTACCTGCTGTGGACTTTTGAATTAATGTTTTTTCAGCCATGTCCGACTGGATTCAATCCATGGCTGTCAAAGTCAAATACATCAGAGGCCAACAAAAAAACATTTGTTACAAGACAAGGGGCGGAAAATTATGAATAAAATCTGTCAAAAGGCATTAATAAAACCTCCTCTTTTCCAATTCTTTACCTGATAACAGTAGTTGAGAGATATTTGACTTTCCAGCCCCTAAATCTTGTTATTGTTTTCATTTTGATGTCCCGCCCTCCTCCGTTTCACCAACCAGAAAGTGTGTGTCAAGCTATTCTCAATGGGAAGGACTCAATATGATTCTCAAATCATTAACAACAAAACAAGGAATAAAACCAGGATTTCTATCTTTGTGAAAATATGTGTTGGTTATAGATCTGTTGTTGACGAAACGCGGCACGGTGGCTGAGTGGTTAGCACTCTCGTCTCTCAGCAAGAAGGTCCTGGGTTCGTATCCCGGTCGGAACAGGGCCGTTCTCCCCGTGTCTGTGCAGGTTTCCTCTGGGTACTCCGGTTTCCCCTACCACTAAAAAAACTCCGATCACTGTGTGGAGTGAGAGTCCACGGAAAATGGACAGCTTAACTCTCTACGCAACCAAGAGGAGCCAACATCTCCTGTATTCAAGACTCCTGGATTGTGGACATGCTAGGCCGCCCCCGGGTAAACTTGATCATACAAAGTGTAGGTCATTCCTGGGGGTTCTGAATCTTTTAATGCTAATACTTTTGGCTGGTGATGTTGAGGAAAATCCTGGGGATGTTTTGAGTGCTGTGATACAACTACAGCAGTCCCCTAACACCACCTCTGCTACCTGGGCCACAGCAGCTACCTGGGCTACAGCAGCTACCTGGGCTACAGCAGCTACCTGGGCTACAGCAGCTACCTGGGCTACAGCAGCTACTTGGGCTACAGCAGCTACCTGGGCTACAGCAGCTACCTGGGCTACAGCAGCTACCTGGGCTACAGCAGCTACCTGGGCTACAGCAGCTACCTGGGCTACAGCAGCTACCTGGGCTACAGCAGCTACCTGGGCCACAGCAGCTACCTGGGCCACAGCAGCTACCTGGGCCACAGCAGCTACCTGGGCTACAGCAGCTACCCAGGCCAACATCACCACCCATCACAACTAAACCCAGTAAGTCACTGGAACCCATCACACCAATGCGCTCAAAGAGGAACCCTGTATTTAAAAAGCATCGAGCGTGTAAGTTATTTCAGACTCTTAATCAAGCCAGGAGAATATGGGATCCTCAGTGTAAAACCAAAGGTCTCTTAGGAGGCCATCTGAATATACGCAGTATGGCCCCTAAGAGGGAACAATTGGAGCATCTTCTCATTAACTCAAATGTGGATTTCATTGGACTTTCAGAAACCTGGCTCAAACCCTCTTCCCCCACCATCAGTGGTAACATTACAAGGCTACCAGGTCTTTAGACAAGATAGACATCAGGGAAAGGGGGGAGGGGTGTTATTGTATATGAAGGACTCTAAAATGTACACAAATCATTTGGCCTACTGAAATTCCAATTGAATGTGTTGGAGTTAAAGTGTCACTCTCAGTAGAGATGTCATTTACTCTTTTATGTCTTTATCGCCCACCTTCAGCCAAAGGAGATTTTTATGACAATTTCAAGGCACTTCTGAAAACTTGTGACTTCAACAATGAAGTCATTCTAATGGGAGACTTAAATGTGAATTGGGATAACAAAAGTGACAAAGAAACTGAAAGAGATAATTGATAATTTTGATTTAACACAAATAATCAGTGATCCCACTAGAATAACAAATCGCTCTAAAACTCTAATAGACCTGGTGTTCTCTAACAAACCAGACAGAATGATAAAAACACATAATTTTTTGACTGGCTTGTCTGACCACAATGCCATATTCTTCTCCAGAAAGTTGACTAAAAACAGACTGAGAAGTGTCAGTAAAAGCAATAATATAAAACAACTATTTATTCCAAAGAGCCAAGAACAGCACTTAACTGCTGCTCTAAATCATCTTGATTGGTCGAGAATACTATTCTGTGATGACACTAATAACTGTTGTGATCTATTGTATTCCTCTATTAAAGGGGTTCTGTCACAGTTTCAGAAAGAAGGTAATTTAAAGAAACAGCTCATGACACTCAGAGATAAATTACTCAAAACATCATTACAAACTGGACTAATTACTGATCGATTAAAATCTGTATCCGCAAAGAATAAAGTCACACAAACTCTAAGAAGGGCAAAAGCTAATTTTTTTATGACTGTAATTAATGGTGCCAAAGGAAGTTGTAAGCTAATTTGGGAAAATATTAACAAACTCCTTGGTAAAAGTAAGCAAAATGCTGATAAAGACCTTGAACTAAAATTCTCCAACAACAGCCTCTCACCCTAGCAACTCAATTAAATGTCTTTTTCCAAAATACTATTAATGAAATTGCACAAATGTTTTCAATTGATAATACCAACCCCCATTTGGAGGCCCCAACTCAAAATTCAAATTTGATATTCAAAAAATTTCAGAAAAGGAAGTAGAAAACATAATCTGTAAATTTAAAAGTTCTAAAGCAAGAGATGAGTTTGGATTTGATACCAATTTTGTGAAGCATTATAAATCTTGTTTTTTGGTGCCTGTGACCCATCTTATTAATTTATCAATTATGCAGGCAGTCGTTCCTCTGAGCTGGAAGGTGGCAAAAGTGATACCAATCTATAAATTGGGTGATAAATCGACCTATTAGCATACTGCCTATCTTCTCAAAGATAGCAGAAAAATGGGTTGCCCATTCTATCATCGAATATCTTAATGATTCCAATCCGGGTCTGCACCCTGTGCAATTCAGATTTCGATCTCTTCACTCGACTGAAACGGCTGTTTGCGTCTTTGTTGAGAAGGTGAAGTCTTATTTAGACAAAACCAGTTATGTAGCGGCTGTTTTTATTGACTTTAAGCGTGCGTTTGATACAGTGAATCACCTTAAGCTCTTGTCTAGACTGTCAGCTTTTAAATTTAGCAATCAAACCATTAAATGGATACAATCTTATTTATCAGACAGAAAACAAACCGTGCAAATAAAGAATAGTAAGTCACCCTTTCTTCACTATACGCCAGGTGTCCCTCAGGGATCCATTTTGGGTCCCCTCCTATTTTCCCTTTATTTAATAACTAAAAAATGTGGACACGATTATGTATGCCGACGACATGGTAATTTTTACACAAGCCAAAAGTGCTGATGATGCAGCTTATCAGCTCTCATTAGCCTTGAATGATTTACAAAAGTGGCTGAATGAGTCTTGCTTGTGTCTTAATGTTAAAAAGACTGTAGCACCCGTGGCCACAGTAAAAGTTTGCTTGAGTGGAAAAGAATTAATTAATGTTGAGGAATTTAAGTATTTGGGAGTGCTAATAGACTCGAAATTATCCTTCAAAAATCACGTCAAAAAAATTGTGAAAACTGTAAATGTTAATTTACGGAACTTCAGACTGTCAGGATTTAGCAGACAGCAAATCCGAACATCATTAACGGATACAGCAGCAATTACATTCATGCACTCTACGATACTGGCTCATATTGAATACTGTATCACAGGCTGGTCTTATACGGGTCATGCTGCCATTGGGCCAATTGAAGTATGTTACAAAAGAGCTTTGAAAATATTAGACAAGAAGCCTTCGTCATACCATCATTGTCAAATCTTAGACAAATATAAATGATTCAATTTTGATCATTTCAAATTGTTTAAATCAGCATGCCTAATCTACAAGGTTATACATGGTCTAGCGCCTCCTCCAATGAGCGATTTTATTAAACCAAAGTCTAGTAGTACTGCCAGTAGGGATGTAAATCGGCGACCGGTTAACCGGTGGTTGACCGTCACAGCGTTAACCGGTCAAAGCTGTCGGTTAAAAAAGAGAAAACGGGGAGAGGGGAGGTCTCTTAATAACGCTATTTTAAGCCCTATTTGCACGGTGTGACGAGCGGGTCTGTATCTAGCTGTGTGCGCCCATGTATTATAAACTCCGGGACGACTCTCACGCCGCACGAGCCACATATGCACACACGCACGCGCGCGCACACACACACACACACACACACTTTCCCCCTCTCCATACGTAACATCCACACGCATCATCTCTCCCCTCTGTTACCGTCAAAGTTGCACACTGGCGCGGGTCAGAACTACATTGGAGCTTACATTTACACACACACACATATACATACACACACACATACATACACACACACATACCGGTCTGTCGCGCTCCTCTGTGTCACGGAGCCCAAAGGATTCGCGTAAATACGCGGCTCCAGTCAAACCACATGGACCATGTTTGTGTTTATGGTCCTCGGGATCAGCTCCACACACATCACTTGTATTTAAACTTTTGTGAAGACCTGTGAGACGCGGCTCGTCACTCGCTGCTCTGACCATGTGAACGAGCCGTCGTTTGCTGCTAGAAAGTTTTGGTATTAACCCGCAGCACAGAATAATGGGAAGATTAAAAAAGCAGTTCTTTGCCGGAGCTGTTGCGGGTTTGGGCGCCGCTGTCTCAGCTCTGATCCAGTAGAACGCAGAGCTGCACTTATGAGAAGTATGCGGCTCGAAATGGCTGTTATTTCAAAGAACGTGGAATATTTTAAACTACGCGGTTAACCGGTTTCAACCGGTTAATGAGGCTCGGTGGTCGGTCATGAAAATTCATAGTTTTTTACATCCCTAACTGCCAGTTCTCGAGTGACTCGAACCACTGCGAGAGGCGACTGTGAACTGACGTTTAGGCGGACCGCTTTCTCACAGAACGTCCTGTCATATCAGGGAGGGAGCTTCTGGAATAGTATTCCGGTGTCAGTGAGGGAAAGAACCAGTCTGCCTTCAGGAGTCATTTAAAAATGTGGCTGAGGGACACTCAAACATGTGACCATGTTTAGATAGAGCTGGTGCATTGCGGGAAACGGTTATCATTGTAATGTGGGCTGTGCAATACAGGTCTATACAAGGTGGGTTAGTGCAATAAGGAGTGGTCCAACACGGGTTAGTGTAATGAGGGCTAGTGCAATATAGAGTGGTGCAATACGGGTCAGTGTAATATCAGGTCAGTCAGGGCATGTGCAATACTCGGGTTTGTGCAATACAGATGATGTGTTTCTGTTACTGTTTTCTACATTGTGCTTTACTGTCCACTCTTGCTGGTTGTTCTAACATGTGATCACTGTCCCGGTCTCTCTGTATATAAATAGTGTCTGTTTGTCTTTACTAACTTGTGTGTAACACCAACCTGCAGGGGGTCTGCAGATGGAAATTAGCCTAAGGCTATAATCTGGCATATTCACATTTGTAAAAATGTTCATTAATATGTATTGTTCCCCCTTTATCAAATAAATAAATAAAAATTACTTACTTTTTCATTTCATTAATTTATTTCAAACCTGCAGGTGTATACAAACAGGAAAACAAAAATACAAAGTCTGCGTGGTTTGAAAGGCGGATTATGGAAGTTTACGCTTATATAAAACCACCCCTACACACTCCACTTGCAGACAAGTCATTTTCACAAATGATTACAACACAAGACATTGAACATACAACACACCCACGCACGCACACACACACACACAGGCCCAACACTCTCCGACCCCACACCCCTCTCCTACTGTCACAATTACATAAAGGTATCATGTTCTCTCCTCCAGGTTCTTTTCCATCACAAAGCCTTTAAAATATTAAATTCAAACAGTTTTTCAGGTCCTCAGTGAGTCCATTCCACAGACTCACTCCTCTTACAGAAACACACACAGACTAAAGTGTTCTGACTCGTGGTTGATGTAATCTATAGACTCTTCTCAAACTCACTCGGAGCTGAGTGTCTCTATCACAACAAAGATTTTGGATATTTGTTGGAAGAGAGTGTTTTGATACCTTGAACATAACTCTAATTTGAAATCACTGTTCTTAAGGAAAAGCTGTTTGTGTGTTTATTGTGAGGGACTTTGTGAACGAACCAAGTGCTCTTTTCTGGAGTGTAATCAAAGGCAATAGGTTTTATAACAGTTTCCCCAATGTGACATCACAAGTGAGTGAATATGTGCAGTGCTTTTACATTTAGAACAAAACTACATTTCTGGTATCGCTTTATATGAAGGTGTGCTTGTTAAGTATTAATAAGGTAGTAATAGGCATTAGTAACATGCTTGTATGTGCTTATAAACATATTAAGCTGCTCATTTCACTATTCTCTAAATTATGTTGTTCTAGTTAAGCATTTAATAAGTAATTAGTAAGATTCTTATTACAGGAGGAATATGTTTATACAGATATTAATAAACTGCTTATTACACTACTATCTAATCTCAGGTCAATAGGCCACTAACACTATGCTTGTAAATGTGTCAATAAACTGCTTATTACACTATTTTGCAGTGCCCTAATCTAAAGCGTGGACCATATGTGATAATACAGAAAAAACACAACCATAATGTAAGATTTTTTTATCTATTCAAACAGCAACAATTACAGCTTTAAACATGGCATTATTTTTTGCTGTCTAACTGAAGAAAAAAAATATCAAAATTAAGTTTGTGTCAACAGTTCGTTAGTAACTTCAAGGAGCCATGATGAACACATTCATGCTCGGACCTGCTCTAATAATGAATTGTGCCTTGGCAAAACAGTGAATCAACTGAAATACTTCTTTCAAGCCCCGGTGATCCAAGATGACGCCCCTTTTCAAATGAATTGCTTGTGCTCAGTAGCGTATGGACTTCACGGAGACCGGGAGATTAGCAGAACTTGCCCATATTTGGGCATCATCTGGTCCTCCCGGTTCTGCGCAGTGGACGAGCTCCCATGATGCTTTGCGCCAAATACGCATGTGTAGCTCCCATGCACGGGCACAGAGGGGCTCGGCCGCACTCTGACCAATCAGAGCTGATCAGAGGAGTGGTAGCGCGGAGTCAGAGCGGGAAGGAAAGGAGCAGAGTTTGTGGCAGTAAAGTGTGGATTTAAACAAAACCGAAGCAATAAAGAAGAAAAAAAGTTCAGGATGACAAGGGACACTAAAAACCCCACAAAATCCAACCTTTAAAAAAACTGTAGGTTCTCTGTCAGCTGAGTACATTTAGATTGAGTTCTATGGGACTTTTTTCTGGGTAGCCCATGTAAATTTAGTCTGCAGTACCACAGCGCCCCCTGTGCCCGTGGGTGGGACAGCTATAAGCTAGTAATACCCTATCCAGTTATTATTATAGATCCTTGATTGTGCCACAGGTGCGTTGTATACACTACCGTTCAAAAGTTTGGGGTCACCAAAGTGTTTTCCATGAAAAGTCACACTTATTCACCACCATATGTTGTGAAATGAATAGAAAAGAGTCAAGACATTGACAAGGTTAGAAATAATGATTTGTATTTGAAAGATATGTTTTACATCCAACTTTGCTTTCGTCAAAGAATCCTAATTTACTAATTTAAAGTTATCGTCATTGAAAAGTACAGTTCTTTTCCTTCAAAAATAAGGACATTTCAATGTGACCCCAAACTTTTGAACGGTAGTGTACATGGATCTATTATATTAACTGGATAAGGTATTACAGCTTGTAGCTGAATAACTCATGTGCTCAGGGGATTCTCGCGGTACTGCAGACTAAACCAGACTAAATTCACCTGGGCTACCCAGAAATCTTCCCCATAGAACTCAATGTAAACTAAAACAGCTCACCCTCAGCTGACAGAGAACCTACAGCTTTCATAAAGGTCAGATTTTGGGGGAATTTTAGTGTCCCTTGTCATCCTGACCTTTTTTTCCTCTTTAATCCTTCAGTTTTCTTTAAATCCACACTTTAGTGCCACAAACTCTGCTCGTTTGGCCCCCGCGCTAACTCCTGCTACTCTGATCAGCAGCTCTGATTGGTCAGAGCGCAGCCGAGCCCCTCTGTGCACGTGCGTGACAACTACACACTCGTATTTGGCGCAACACATCATGGGAGCTCGTGTACTGCGCAGAACCGGGAGGATGCCCAAATATAGGCGAGTTCTGCTAATATGTCAGTGCCCGTGCCGGCACATGTGCCACTGAGCACAAACCATTCATTTGAGTACGGCGCCATCTTGGATCTCCAGGGCTTGGTTGTATACCACCGTGTTGCAGTCCACCTCCACTTTGGCACATGAGGCAGACGGTGATCTTCCTTTAGCATAGGCCCCGAGAACCTTCTTGTATCGCTGTACCACTTCATCTGGAATGCGTGCTGAAAAATAGGAGATGTGATGACTTATATGATAAATCATTAACTCTGCATGTGATATTCTATATAATATTGTGGTGAGACCTGACACAAACCTTTTGTCAAGTTCATTATAGCCTCAGTATATACTGTAAGTGTTTTTCTTTGTTTTCTCGCAAATGGACAAAGAAAGTAACTTAATCACCAGTCGAACAACAAAAGAATTGCAATTTATTTATATAGTTAAACATTTTTAATGTTAAACTAAAATACACTTGTGGAATTTGATAAGAATGATTTGCAATTTTTTTTTTTTTTTTGAAATGTTTGCTTGAAATACATTTTGTAATATTTGATTAATACATTGCCTTTTAAAGCATTTTAAAATGGGAAAGTGATCATAAAAATAACATTACATGCTAGAATCTAAATTATTACACATGCATGTTACTCTAAAACTACATTACTGACGTTATATTCATATGAAACTATACAATATACCAGGGATGTAAATCGGTGACCGTTTAATTGGTGGTTGACCGTCACAGCGTTAACCGGTCAAAGTTGTCGGTTAAAAAAAAGAAAAGGGGAGAGGGGAGGTCTTTTCATAACGCTATTTTAAGCCCTATTTGCACGATGTGACGAGCGGGTCTGTCTCTAGCTGTGTGCGCCAATATATCAGTAAACTCTGGGCCGACTTTCATGCCGCACGCGCCACATATGCACCATAGACTGAATATATTAACGGACAGAGTCACGCCTATCTCCGCCGTTCAAACAAATGGGCCAAAAAATATTGCTCTACTGGAGCTGTTCAAAATGGCCGCGAGTGGTCCCGCCCACAAGAAAATTGTGTAAAAACGCATCTGCGCATGCGTCAGTCGGCGCAACTCCATTCATTTAAACGAGAGACCTCGAAAATTCACAGCAAGTAAACTAGAGTGGACCAAAACACCCCCCTCAGCATTGACACACATGTGGAACGGAACTTTGGGCCAAGAGCCAACTTTTGGTCCATCCTGTAAAGACGTTTTTGAGAGGTCTGCTAATGCTATATGTTAGCATTGGGTCCACCCCCATCGGCCCGGGGTGGTATTGCAGCATGTCAGCGCACGCCATTTTGGCCACTTTTCAGGCGGGACCCGCCCCCACTGATCTGCACGCATACACCAGTGGGGGCGGATCCCAGCTCAAAAGTGGCCAAAATGACGTGCGCTGACATCATGATGTTTTTTTATTTTATTTTTTGTATCTTACTTCTGCCTCAACAGTTCTGTTCACAATAAATAATTCATACAAATAATTTTTCTTTTTACAAGCATTCAATAGTCCCTTCGTCATCCATGGTTTTCTGGTTTCCTGTTTTTGTCTGTTCTTTTTAACTGGACAATTATTGTCATACAATGCAGTGATTATGTCTAGAAAGACATTATAAGCTGTGTCTAGATCAGACTGTTTGAATACATTTTCCCAACTTTGAGCAGACAATTCATTTTTAAAGTTCATCATTGACTGCTCGGTTATTAGCCGGCCAAATCTAAATTCATTTAGATTTGTTTAAGTTAAACACCATAAAGATGGGGAGATGGTCACTAGTGTCGCTCAATAATAAACCACTCATTAATTTGTCGTCTAGAATGTTGGAAAAGATGTTGTGGATCAGGGTAGCACTATGTGTAGTTATTCTTGATGGTCTAGTGATCAATGGAAACAGGGTCATACTAAACGTTGTGTCAATGAATTCTTTTGTATGTTTATGGTTTTTTGCATTTAGTAAGTCTGTTATAATCTCCACATATCATAACATCCTTTTTGACTTTGGTTGCAAACATCTTTTCCATCCATTCCTATCTATGATAATAACTGGAACATCCATGGATCTATGATAATAATTGGAACATCCATGGATCTATGATAATAACTGGAACATCCATGGATCTATAATAATAACTGGAACATCCATGGATCTATGATAATAACTGGAACATCCATAGATCTATGATAATAATTGGAACATCCATGGATCTATGATAATAACTGGAACATCCATGGATCTATGATAATAACTGGAACATCCATGGATCTATGATAATAACTGGAACATCCATGGATCTATGATAATAACTGGAACATCCATGGATCTATTATAATAACTGGACGGCTCGGGGCCGCTGATGTCAAGGATCGGACCGTGACACGTGCGCATTGGTGCCCGAATCCAGCGCCATCCCTCGGTAGCCCCCGGATTGTGGTTGTGCCTGTTGGGGTGCCTGTTGGGGTGCCTGTTGGGACGCCTGTTGGGGTGCCTGTTGGGACGCCTGTTGGGGTGCCTGTTGGGACGCCTGTTGGGGTGCCTGTTGGGACGCCTGTTGGGGTGCCTGTTGGGACGCCTGTTGGGACGCCTGTTGGGACGCCTGTTGGGACGCCTGTTGGGACGCCTGTTGGGATGCCTGTTGGGACGCCTGCTGACGTGTGTGTTTGGAGTTCGTAGTTCTGATGTTCCCAGCGCGTCCTACGATCCCGTGTTCAGGACGTTCTGAGGATTTCCTGTGCTCCAGTTTTCCGCTTGTCGTCCACCTGCTGCGGGGAGTCCAGGCTGCTGCAGGGAGTCCAGGCTGCTGCGGGGAGTCCAGGCTGCTGCGGGGAGTCCAGGCTGCTGCGGGGAGTCCAGGCTGCTGCGGGGAGTCCAGGCTGCTGCGGGGAGTCCAGGCTGCTGCGGGGAGTCCAGGCTGCTGCGGGGAGTCCAGGCTGCTGCGGGGAGTCCAGGCTGCTGCGGGGAGTCCAGGCTGCTGCGGGGAGTCCAGGCTGCTGCGGGGAGTCCAGGCTGCTGCGGGGAGTCCAGGCTGCTGCGGGGAGTCCAGGCTGCTGGCGGGGAGTCCAGGCTGCTGCGGGGAGTCCAGGCTGCTGCGGGGAGTCCAGGCTGCTGCAGGATTGCCAGGTTTTGGTTCTTGGAGGGCGATGGGACTTTGATGCTGTTTTGTACATTTTTATGTGTGTGTTGTGCATTATTTCAGTTAGAAACATGAGGACCTGTCTTGTTAAAGGGGGAAGTATTTAAACGACTTTTTAGTAATGTGTGTTACAGTGTGACCAATGTTTCGCGGGTTTTGGTTCTTTATGAATAAACGGGGACCTCACTTTTCAGGGGGAATCTCCAACTACAATTTGCCTCTTTCTGTCTCTGTCCTCCCTCTCCCGTTTGGTACGCTCCAATTGTGTAGCGAGAAATTTGTTGATTTTGGTCCGCCTTCATAATAGGCCTGTTCTAAAAATCTCATTTTCTTTTCTACTTCTACTATATACAGTTAATATACTGTCAACATTTTTTCTTGCATTCGTTACTTCATTTAGAGCTTCTTTATTTTTATTATTCCTTTTATGTATTTGTTCTAATACTGTAAGTTGTTCTGTGGCAGTCTTAAATTCTGGAAACCTTTTCTTTTTGATAAATGCTGCATGAGATATTAAAAAACCCCTTGTTACCGCTTTCAAGTCATCCCACAGTATTGTGGCATCAGTTTCCCCATTATCATCCTCTTTTTGGTATAGATTTATCTCCTTTTTGCGGTTAATGGCTGGTCGTTTAACATCCCAACGTTCAATCTCCAATTTGTGGTCTTTTTTTTCCTGCTAATGTCTAATGTGAGATTCAAGGAACTATGATCTGAATCAGCTGCTCCTATTTTACAGTCAATAATTCGAAATCGGTCTTCTTTATTCATGAATAAATAGTCTATTCTTGTGTGCACCAAATGTGGAGGAGAGTAGTACGTATGTTTTGTGTTTTCCTTATCAACACTTTTTTTTCCTTTTAAATTATATAAACTATAACAAAAAAGTATTCTGTGTCAAAATATTCAATGTTTTTAAATTCAGTGTCAAAATTTCGTAGCATTTTTTTTTGCTGCTTGAAATGTCACATCTTGATTTCCGTGTAAATCAAGACAGAAGCAATCGATCAGCCAATCCTCCATAGATGTAGCCAGGGCCAGAACACGCACGACTTTCTTCCGGCGCCAGCTCCCGCTGTGCAGCTCGTCACTTTGGCTCTCTTCTCTTTCCGACCCTTTCTCTTTTTATTTCTTGTAGATGTGCTTTTTTATTTTTATTTTTCGTAGGCAAGCGTTTATTTGTGCATTGTGTACACGGGAAGCCTAGCCTCGTGGACTTTCTCACTGGATTAACATGTCTTCGGCACTTTTTTCGGAGTCCTCCGCTCACAGAGGAACGAGACCAGCGTGTCCCATTGTTTACACACGGGAGCAGCTTCTCGGACTTAGAGACTCCGCTTTCCGGCCCTCAGAGAAGCCGGTGATCCCCGTGGAGATCCGTAGGAGACGCAGGGGCTCCAGAGGAGGCCGAAAGAGGAAGAAGAGACCGTATCTCCCCTCCATCCTCATGGGGAACGTACGGTCCATCTCTAATAAGACTGAGGAGCTGACCGCACTGGTCCGCCATCAAAGAGAGTACAGACAATGTGGACTTATGTGTTTCTCTGAGACGTGGCTGTGTGGGAATATACCGGACTCTGTGGTCGCGCTGGAGGGATTTAAACTTGTGCGAGCGGACCGCTGCGCGGAGGGGAGTGGGTCTACGTGAACGAGCAGTGGTGCATCCTGACGCACGTTCATGTGGTTCAGTGTACATGCACACTCGAAAAAAGTAAAATGAACTGAACTTTGAACTAGTTCAGAATTAAAAATGTGAACTTTGAACGTGAACTGTTCACTTTGAGCATGTATGAACTGCATCATGGTCACCCAGGCATTACCAGAATGAAAGCCTTAGCACGTAGCTACTTTTGGTGGCCAAAGCTAGATACAGACATTGAGACAGTGGTGAAGGGATGCAGCACATGTCAAGAACATCGTAACGTACCGGCTCCAGCGCCCCTCCACCCTTGGGAGTGGCCAAGCAAACCGTGGCAAAGGCTACACATAGACTATGCAGGACCATTTATGGGTCATATGTTTTTGATCTTAATGGATGCTCATTCAAAATGGATGGACGCATACCCTGTTTCAACAGCAACTTCAGCTAAAACTATCGAGTGTCTACGGAAAAGTTCCAGCAGTCAAGGGTTGCCCGAGATAACACATTACCTCGGCTCCATACCACCCTTCTTCAAACGGTTGCGCCGAGCGGGCAGTCCAGACCTTCAAGTGCATGATGAAAAAGGCGGGTGAAGGAAATATCCAGACTAAAGTTTTGAGGGTGCTATTTAATTACCGCATTACCCCTCAGTCGACCACAGGGTTGTCACCCACTGAAATGCTACAAGGTCGTAGGTTAAGATCAACTTTGGATCTAGTGCATCCTGACCTGAGATCCAAGGTGGAACAGAAGCAGGGCGTTCAAAAGAAGCATCATGACAAACAAAGAACAGTGAGAAGTTTCTTAATCGGAGATGCAGTCATCACGCGAAACTTTAGTTATGGGCCCAAGTGGATCCAAGGCTTCATTACCAAAGTCACCGGCCCTGTGTCTTACAAAGTCATGTTAGGGGATGGTTCCATAGTGCGTAGGCATGTGGACCAGATACTGGACAGACCTGAACAAAAAGACATTGTTGACCCGGAGGGAACGGGACCTCCGACAGTACCACTTGTGTCGGCTGACGCTACACCATTGTCAGAGGAACCTGGAGCAGTAAGCGCGAGTGGTGCTCCGGAAGGGAATCCACAACTCATGGACATAACAACTCCATCAATGGTGGTCATTCCAGAGACCGTGAGGGAAGCGCCGCTGGTGGTGCCTGCACGCCGGTCTCAACGAACTGTGTCTAAACCCAATTTTCTGAAAGACTATGTCTGTGGGAAGTAAACTAGAAATAAAAAAGGAAAGAAGAAGAAAACAGTTACTATGTTAAGTGTCAAGCTAAGTTAAGTTAACTGTGTTTAAAAGGTTTGGCATGGCTACTGAAGGGCTTGTAACAGTTTGTTTTGTTTGTTTGGTTTATTCATTACGGTAATATTAGTACTCGCTTAAGGGGGGAGGAGTGTAATATAGGATAGTGTTATCTTACCACAAACCTATAGGTGGCAGTGTGGGATAAGGGGTGATAATAAGAGTGCACTTGGCGGGTTCAGTCTCTGTTATGTTGTTGGCTGCATGTTGATGATTAAAACCCCTGTGTAAGCCACCCGGTGTTTATGACTTCTTTAATGACAAGGATACCACATCTCCCCCCTCTCCATCTATCCCCCCTCCCTCCCCCACCTCTTCACACGTCCCCAGCCCAGTGGACACCGCCCAGTGGACACTGCCTTCGGCTGCCCCGGGCCCTCCTGCCCCTGAGGTGAGGGACAGGAAGGTGCTAGCCAAAGCCTCCTCCATCATGAACAACACCTCCCACCCACTGCACAGGACTGTAGAGGAGCTGAGGAGCTCCTTCAGTGGAAGACTGAGACACCCTCAGTGTAGGAAGGAGCGCTACCGCAGGGCCTTTATCCCCACCGCTGTCAGACTGTACAATAAGTCACTTTAAATGATCACTGTGTGAAAACCTGCACTACTATTGACACTGTTTCCAATTGACACTTGTCACTTTTGTCGTACATAATTATTGTCACTTTTATTGTACATATATCCTGCATGTAACATGTTTGCACATTTCCTCCTTTTGCACAATCTGAGTGTTCTATCCATGCCAAATGTGACATGTACATTTATCCTCTGTGAGATAAATAAAGCACATCTTATCTTATCTTATCTTATCTTTGGCTTTATCCAAATGTCCACTATAACATATTCACTCAGTCACTACATGGTGCAGGACTATTGTGAGTGACTGAGTGAGGGAGTGACTGAGCGACTGAGCGACTGACTGAGTGAGCGACTGACTGAGTGACTGAGTGACTGACTGAGTGACTGAGCGACTGACTGAGTGACTGAGTGACTGACTGAGTGACTGAGCGACTGAGTGACTGAGCGACTGACTGAGTGACTGAGCGACTGAGTGACTGAGCGACTGACTGAGTGACTGAGCGACTGACTGAGTGACTGAGCGACTGACTGAGCGACTGAGTGACTGACTGAGCGACTGACTGAGCGACTGACTGAGCGACTGAGTGACTGACTGAGCGACTGACTGAGTGACTGAGCGACTGACTGAGCGACTGAGTGACTGACTGAGCGACTGAGTGACTGACTGAGCGACTGACTGAGTGACTGAGTGACTGACTGAGCGACTGAGTGACTGAGTGAGCGACTGAGTGACTGAGCGACTGACTGAGTGACTGACTGAGCGACTGACTGAGTGACTGACTGAGTGACTGAGTGACTGAGTGAGCGACTGAGTGAGCGACTGACTGACTGACTGACTGAGTGACTGACTGAGTGACTGAGTGACTGACTGACTGACTGACTGAGCGACTGAGTGACTGACTGAGCGACTGACTGAGTGACTGAGTGACTGACTGAGCGACTGAGTGACTGAGTGAGCGACTGAGTGACTGAGCGACTGACTGAGTGACTGACTGAGCGACTGACTGAGTGACTGACTGAGTGACTGAGTGACTGAGTGAGCGACTGAGTGAGCGACTGACTGACTGACTGACTGAGTGACTGACTGACTGACTGAGTGACTGACTGAGCGACTGACTGAGCGACTGACTGACTGACTGAGCGACTGACTGAGCAACTGAGTGACTGAGTGAGCGACTGAGTGACTGAGTGACTGACTGAGTGACTGACTGAGCGACTGACTGACTGACTGAGCGACTGACTGAGCGACTGAGTGACTGACTGAGTGGACTCATTCTGATGGTGATTCGGACGCTGCACACTATTGTCAGGCCGTGCTGTTGCATCAGATTCAGATTCATTTATTTGCCATTTGCAGTAAAACCACATAGGAACAACTGTGCAAGACTACCCCAGTGTGCACCAGACGACACACACCAGAGCTCTTGCCACGGCGCCATCTTTACGGCGCCATGCGACAAACAGTAGAATAAACAGCAGAGAGCAATAACATACAGTTTCACAGACAGTTGGATAGACACATTGTGCTTTGTATAAACCACGGATTTTTTTCTCGGGATGAAGCACCTCCTACAGCCGGCCCAATGTGGCTGTCAGAGGGGGGCGGGGTCAGGGAGGGGGTGAGTCGGAAACACAGTGAGGAGTGGAGGGGAGGGAGAGAGCAAGATGGATAGGTAGAGGGAGGCGGGGGGAGCGGGATCCGAGCTGGAGACTGAAGTGTGAGATTGTTGTAGATGGGGACCTTGTTATTATGGCCTTGGCCGAGGAATGTGAGATAAGAGTGGAGAGAAGACACAGTAGGAGAAAAACACATCGCCTCAGGGGGACAATATTATATGCAATGTAGTAGTCAAAAACAGGCAGATATTCTATTAAATCCAATTAAACCGAATTGCGGCGCCCTCAGACCTCCGTACACAGGGGCCAATCCAAGCCGGGTCAGAGAGTTCAAGCCTGACACACGATGTCATTCAATCTCATCTCCAATGTTTTATGCCCATCGAGTGAACGAGCTGCGAGGTCTTTTATCAACTGTTCCACCAAAACCACTCTCCTTTGTCCAGACACGGCGCTCTCAACCACGACGCGGCTAAGCTCCTTGTACATCCCATCAATTTTGTTGGCCAGCAGGTCGTGAATCTTGCGAACTGCCATGCCTCCGAATTTGTGGTAGAAGAGAACCGCTCCAAACCCAAACAGGAGGATCCCCACCACCAAAAAGCCAAAGATATATACGTCTTCCGAATCTTCAATGGACAGGGTCGACAGACAGAGGGGTTTCCACGAGTTCCAGCTGTCAAGAGTATACCCCGCAGGTGAAGTCCCGTCCGGGCACACGGGCTCTCCAGACCCACGCTTACGTGTTGAAAAGATAGAATCAATTGCGTTGAGGGACCAGTTAATCATTTCCATTCTTGTTAAAGTTGTCTGTGGCAAAACTCCAGGAAAAAGACAAAAACAGGAGATAGCAAGCAGTCAGAAGCAGGAGCGTCTGAGACACGTCTTTGCTCGACAGAGGCGGAAGAGAGAGAGAGACATGCATCGAGCGTCCCGCAGTAGCATGGATCACAGAGAGGAGCGGCCATGACAAGGTAAAGGTAAAAGTTGAATTTACGTTTTACTGCTGCTAATGTACAGATGTAAACATACTGCTGCTAATGTACAGATGTAAACATACTGCTGCTAATGTACAGATGTAAACATACTGCTGCTAATGTACAGATGTAAACATACTGCTGCTAATGTACAGATGTAAACATACTGCTGCTAATGTACAGATGTAAACATACTGCTGCTAATGTACAGATGCTAACATACTGCTGCTAATGTACAGATGTAAACATACTGCTGCTAACATGTACAGATGTAAACATACTGCTGCTAACATGTACAGATGTAAACATACTGCTGCTAATGTACAGATGTAAACATACTGCTGCTAATGTACAGATGTAAACATACTGCTGCTAATGTACAGATGTAAACATACTGCTGCTAATGTACAGATGTAAACATACTGCTGCTAACATGTACAGATGTAAACATACTGCTGCTAATGTACAGATGTAAACATACTGCTGCTAATGTACAGATGTAAACATACTGTTGCTAATGTACAGATGTAAACATACTGCTGCTAATGTACAGATGTAAACATACTGCTGCTAACATGTACAGATGTAAACATACTGCTGCTAATGTACAGATGTAAACATACAGCTGCTAATGTACAGATGTAAACATACTGCTGCTAATGTACAGATGTAAACATACTGCTGCTAATGTACAGATGTAAACATACTGCTGCTAACATGTACAGATGTAAACATACTGCTGCTAACATGTACAGATGTAAACATACTGCTGCTAATGTACAGATGTAAACATACTGCTGCTAATGTACAGATGTAAACATACTGCTGCTAATGTACAGATGTAAACATACTGCTGCTAATGTACAGATGTAAACATACTGCTGCTAATGTACAGATGTAAACATACTGCTGCTAATGTACAGATGTAAACATACTGCTGCTAACATGTACAGATGTAAACATACTGCTGCTAATGTACAGATGTAAACATACTGCTGCTAATGTACAGATGTAAACATACTGCTGCTAATGTACAGATGTAAACATACTGCTGCTAATGTACAGATGTAAACATACTGCTGCTAATGTACAGATGTAAACATACTGCTGCTAATGTACAGATGTAAACATACTGCTGCTAACATGTACAGATGTAAACATACTGCTGCTAATGTACAGATGTAAACATACTGCTGCTAATGTACAGATGTAAACATACTGCTGCTAATGTACAGATGTAAACATACTGCTGCTGATGTACAGATGTAAACATACTGCTGCTAATGTACAGATGTAAACATACTGCTGCTAATGTACAGATGTAAACATACTGCTGCTAATGTACAGATGTAAACATACTGCTGCTAATGTACAGATGTAAACATACAGCTGCTAATGTACAGATGTAAACATACTGCTGCTAATGTACAGATGTAAACATACTGCTGCTAATGTACAGATGTAAACATACTGCTGCTAATGTACAGATGTAAACATACTGCTGCTAACATGTACAGATGTAAACATACTGCTGCTAATGTACAGATGTAAACATACAGCTGCTAATGTACAGATGTAAACATACTGCTGCTAATGTACAGATGTAAACATACTGCTGCTAATGTACAGATGTAAACATACTGCTGCTAACATGTACAGATGTAAACATACTGCTGCTAACATGTACAGATGTAAACATACTGCTGCTAATGTACAGATGTAAACATACTGCTGCTAATGTACAGATGTAAACATACTGCTGCTAATGTACAGATGTAAACATACTGCTGCTAATGTACAGATGTAAACATACTGCTGCTAATGTACAGATGTAAACATACTGCTGCTAATGTACAGATGTAAACATACTGCTGCTAATGTACAGATGTAAACATACTGCTGCTAACATGTACAGATGTAAACATACTGCTGCTAATGTACAGATGTAAACATACTGCTGCTAATGTACAGATGTAAACATACTGCTGCTAATGTACAGATGTAAACATACTGCTGCTAATGTACAGATGTAAACATACTGCTGCTAATGTACAGATGTAAACATACTGCTGCTAACATGTACAGATGTAAACATACTGCTGCTAATGTACAGATGTAAACATACTGCTGCTAATGTACAGATGTAAACATACTGCTGCTAATGTACAGATGTAAACATACTGCTGCTGATGTACAGATGTAAACATACTGCTGCTAATGTACAGATGTAAACATACTGCTGCTAATGTACAGATGTAAACATACTGCTGCTAATGTACAGATGTAAACATACTGCTGCTAATGTACAGATGTAAACATACAGCTGCTAATGTACAGATGTAAACATACTGCTGCTAATGTACAGATGTAAACATACTGCTGCTAATGTACAGATGTAAACATACTGCTGCTAATGTACAGATGTAAACATACTGCTGCTAATGTACAGATGCTGACATACTGCTGCTAATGTACAGATGTAAACATACTGCTGCTAATGTACAGATGTAAACATACTGCTGCTAATGTACAGATGTAAACATACTGCTGCTAATGTACAGATGTAAACATACTGCTGCTAATGTACAGATGTAAACATACTGCTGCTAACATGTACAGATGTAAACATACTGCTGCTACATGTACAGATGTAAACATACTGCTGCTAACATGTACAGATGTAAACATACTGCTGCTAATGTACAGCTGTAAACATACTGCTGCTAATGTACAGATGTAAACATACTGCTGCTAATGTACAGATGTAAACATACTGCTGCTAATGTACAGATGTAAACATACTGCTGCTAACATGTACAGATGTCAACATACTGCTGCTAATGTACAGATGTAAACATACTGCTGCTAATGTACAGATGTAAACATACTGCTGCTAACATGTACAGATGTCAACATACTGCTGCTAATGTACAGATGTAAACATACTGCTGCTAATGTACAGATGTAAACATACTGCTGCTAATGTACAGACCTACAGGTGGTTCGAGGAGTCTGGAGACAACCCCAAAATTCACACCCTACACACACACACACACACACACACACACATTCATACACACACACATTCACATTTACATATAGATACATGAAAAAGCAGAACATGAGAAAAAAGCATTAAAAGTTTACTCCAATGTAAACAAATTTGTAATTGTCTATCACTTGAATCTGTATTTTTTGAGACCAGAAATGTTCATTTGAATTCTATATTGTCATGAACTTAATTGACCTCTGTCCTGACACTTTTTATGTTTTGATTTTGTACTGTGTGAAGTAATTACATTGATTAGGATTAGATCTGATAAAAACACAAATTATGAGAAGTAAACTGAATTATTGCGCTTGCTTTTGTCTGAGGGACAGAAGCAACAGCATGAATAGAAATTGTGTTAAAGTAGAATCAAAGTGACTTAACCATAGAGAGCAACTACTGCATAACAAGCTGTGTACAGGAACTGAGACACTGCACCATTGACCAGAAGTGCATCGCAAATGACCTGATGTGCTTCAAGTGAAAAGACTGTATCTGGAGATCCTGATGTGCATCTGGAGAGACCAGAACCATGGCTTGGACCCTACTGATGTCCAAGATGACATCTCTCTATGACCTGACCTGATGACGACTGAGACTCACCCTCAGGGGATCTGAGGACCCTGAGGAC